AATTTTCCTATTTATTTAATAATTTCGGAGATACCGAAAGTATTCGGCGAGACTATCATTTATGGATAAACTAATCAGATATAAGATAACACGTCTCGGATTTTGGTGCGAAGTTCACCCATCCATTTAGCTAAGTAGAGTTTTGGCACTAGAGTACGTGATGAAAACCCTAAATCTAAGTCCTAACCTTAACTATAAATTGTAAATTCTAATTCTAATTCTTCTTACTGGCTTATAACCCTCATTTAGTCCTAGTTTGTAGGTGAACACTCTCGAAGTCACTTTAGTATCGCTCAAAGGTCGTCCATAAATGATAATCTCACCAAGTAATCATATTTATATCTTTAATCTTGTTATTGAATAGTTTCTTTTTCTCTAGAGTTTAAACTGACATTCAGATGATTCTTCTAATTTGTTAATTAACATATTCCCAAGCATAAAGCTATTAGTTTATACTTATCTATTGTTAATCATATTTCTCTCATGTCAATAGCCAAAATGAAGGAAAAAATTTGAAAGTTAATCTTGCTTAAATAAATCAAATATCTCCTTTCCTTTGGTTGAACACAATGTTGATTTATCAAAATAACCTAATTTACATTCTATTTCATTGTTCTATTTACCTATTCTCTAGTGTTACTATGTTTCATCTTAATCTATTTGTTTTATTTAGTTGCCGTTTTTTTCATTTCTTTTCAGTCATCTATTTATTACGAAATTGTTCTTAATTGAGATAATGGAGAAGATTTGTAGTTCAAGTAGATGATGTCATTCAGAAGAACAATGAAACCTCTAAAAGTAAACTATCCAGTTCCAAGAACAAAACTTCATTAAGATTATAGTATTATTTCTTTTTCTCATAGGTTTTAGTTTTAAATTTGTTTTTTGAGAAACCTACATCATTTTCTAATCCATTTAATATTATTTCAGAGTTTGATTTGGATTTCGTTTGTTTGTTTTACTATCATTACATTACATGTACTTAATAATTCTGTGTATATCTTTTCTGCTAAGTAAATTATATATTATGAGAAGGGGTTTTGAGGATATTATAGGAATTTTAATAGTTAAGATCATGAACCAGTTGGAGCTAGACCACCACAAAACCCTTTTGATATTAATCAACATATGCTCACTATTGACTGACTTCAAGAGGTATTTCCTGGAGTTCTAGTGAGAAGCAGTGAACAGTGGAATTCAACCGGGTCTGTTGTGAGATAGTAACTCACTGATGACAATGGTGGATGTGTCGCTCAATTTCGTGGATTAGTTGAATTTAGATATTAACAGTGATGGATGCCTGCTTAGTGGTCTAGATGGTAAACGTTTGCGCGCGAGACTGATATGTCGTGGGTTCGAATGTTGCAAGGCAGGATCGTGGATGTGAACTGCTGAGGAGTCCCACAATATGACGAAACGGTCGTTCAGTCCTTCCAGGTTTCTCATGATGGTTTAGTTTCAATTAACTCATGATCTTAACTATTAAAATTGTTTATAAATTTTATGTATATGTGTTCATTTACTGTTTTTAATGCGTATGATGAACTAAGGGTTGTTTTGTGATCAATAAAATACATAAGACAATATAAATACACTAAATATACACCTAATGTAAACAATATAAAAGCAAAATTTTTAAAAATTGTTACGAAGGTAACAAAGATAAATGATACTTAGTTTTATATTAAGTTGGAAAAAAAAGATTTTATATTTGTGAAGGTCTACATCAAATAGGTATATCGGAATAAAGTAAGTCAAACTTGCCGAATGTCAATAACATATTTTTTTATGAATGAATTAACTAAGATACTGTAAAATCTCTTACATGAATGTTAGGCTTATACTTTCTCTATTAATAACTTTTCTAATCCATTGTAGTGGGGCAAATGATTAAACCACAAGACTGAATTCTACCTTTTAAGAAAAGTACTTACTTTGAAATCATAAATTAACATGAAATGTATCGAATTCTAGATTATTTAGATGGTGGTTGGAGGTAGTCAACAGGAAACCCTGGACCCGGGTTTCGTGCTACTTGGTACTCGTCAGCAAGGTGTACCTGTAATCTTGAGGGAACTATTGCTCCCTGGCGGATTTGATCTCGTATCACCCAGCTTCACAGTCAGAGACGTTACAACTGAGCTATTCGAGCCGTGACTGACCTCCTGTAGGACTGAGATGTGGATTATTATGTAGATTATTATTATTACCATTATGTAATCATCTTACACATTACTAATATCCAAACACTGGACTAACAACAGCATGAAGTGAGTCCACTCTTCATTGATAAGTGCATTTTAAAAATAGACACATCTTATTTCTAAACCACTTAATCTAATTCATTCAAATTAAACTCTATCTTACAAGTTTACATATGGTTAAGTGACATGCAAACTATAAATTTCTCATTACTAAAAGATAAGATTTATGAAGGTTGTTTAGTAAATTAGATATTGTCAAATCTGATGAACTCGAACATGTAATAAGATTTATTTGTATTCTAATCTAATGAAGACATGTCTTAAGGCATGTTAAGTTGATTTTCAAGAAAACCCTGATTTGAAGAGAGCAAGAAAAATATTTGAACAGAATGATACGAATTCATTTTATTTTGTTTGTTAATCTTCAAATGCTTAAGACTTACGATATTTGAAAATTACAAAACTACCACCTTCGCTTGAAGTTTTCCAATGTATCACAAAATCTCATATTGGATGAACGAATTTACTTATCATGTAATTGAAAGGTGAGCCCAGTGCTTTAGATAAAGTGTTTAATGACGTAAAAATCGTATGTCGGATAAAATTTATCAAGGTTGTTCATTACCTTTAAATCAAGTTTTCGAAGATCTTCCAAAAATCTCTATCGAGAATTCTGATAACAGAAGAACTATATGTAGGGTTCTAAGAAAACTTTTGAAGTTTAATTATAACTTATCAACTATGAAGCTTTATAATATAGAAACAGAAGCCTTATTACTATGACTAAAATTTCACATGACAAAAACAAGTTCATATAAGATTAATACAAGGACTTCGTTCGAAAATTCATTAGACTAGATAAAAAATTTACATCCAATGAATAAGGATGAAAATGTTCTGGTTCAAACCGAAGTTAGTTAATATTGCCAACCAATATTTTGTTTCCTCGACATCAAAGTCGAAAATTCTATCCGAAGAACATCTGACAGCTCTAAGAAACATTAAACATAATCACGACCAGATAAAGGTTCAAGTGTTTTTCTAATGAACACAACTGATAATATTACTAAGATCAAGTTGATCCTAGACTGTAAACTGAGATTTAAGGTAGAAAAATCCAATAAAGATTTAACTGACTCATCAGAAAAAAGAATAATAGGCATGATTAGAGAACTTTTAAAAAAGAAAATGTTTGTCAATTCTATTTACAATGGTCTATGATCTCGCCACTCATGGCTGTCTCTTATGTATGAATGTGTACGACCTACCGAAGATTCAAAAACATGATATACCTCTTAGAGCTATCCGGTCAGTGATCAGTTCACTGTATCATAAAGTTGAATGCTGACAAGCCGATAAGCCAGAACTAGTCCAGCAGAGATTGGTAACATATACATTAAGAGATTCAACCCAATTCGCTGAATGTTGCTGGTATGCTCATGGTTTCTCTTAATGTAACATATTGGTTCACTAAAATACTACTTCTTGAAACCATTGATGTAATTTGTCAGGATTGTAATCTCTTACCTTTACTAGTGTCAGAACTCAAAGAACTATTACTTATCTACAATCAGACCTTTATATTACCGACAACTGTATCTATGAATTTACATGAAACTCCCACAGCAGCTACATTGACCGAAAGGGAAAGTGGGAATATCTGAGTTTTTTGAATATGTTCCAAAAAGCCTTCGATTTAGAGAAAGAACTACTTTAAACAGAGCAACTACAAAACATATCTTGGATACAGGACATCACGTCGATATCTTCAAATCTTCTGCTGAAGGCACTATTATCGAGTATCTGAAACTTGATTGATATGTTCAGAAGAAGATAGTTGTTAGCCTTTCTTTGCCTTGATGACAAATATTCCTTCATTACATAATAAAACATTTGTTCAACCCGTTCTTTCAATTAATTACATCATTACATCTTTTCACTCAGACTCTCTTCTAGATTAGTAATCTTATTTTAATTAACTGAACTTTACTCATTTTCTTAGCTATTATCAGAGTCTACACATTACGTAACCACCTGTTTCTAGCCCTTTAAACTTTTGTTACTATCAGTGTTGTAGAATATTCTTTTAGATAAGGTGTATATTTATATTTTTTCACTTTATTGAATTTATTTACGCCCTCACTGTACTGTACTGATGTGCCTTCAAATTAACTTCCAACTAAACTCTTTGACGTAAGTAATCTCAACGTATTTTGTAATTATGATTTGTAAATATCACAATTTGTGGGCTGCCGACGAGAACCAAACGAAGTAAAATGAATTCATGTTATTCTGCTCAAATTTTCGTTCTTACTCTCTTCATGATGATAAAGGAAACTATGTATGTGAAATCTTATTTTCACACTAAACTACCTGTTTGATCTGCAAGATAATAATTATGCCAATAAGATTTATAAAAATAGCTAAATTAAATAGTGTAGAAAGAAGGAGAACAAAGATGAAATATACATAAGCTTCGTGGTGAATTTTTGTTGTTGGTTTACAATTGATCGATCACTGTTTGGGGACCGACATCAGAGTTATCTAATCCTTTAATACTTTCGACTACCTGAAAATTTCTAATAGGTTGTTAGTAGTAAACACACTGGTGAGAACATGATGAAGAGGAATCTTCGTTCTGAGTTAATGCCAACCATGCTTATGATCCATATTTGAAACAGTTGTGTAATAATTATTTTCGCTTATATATATTGAACATATTTAAATTTCTACAAATCAGTAAATTCGTTTTTTAAAAGCTGAGTGTTTAACAAAGATTGAAATAATGCAACTCACTTTGCTAAAAGCCATCCTGGTCGAACATGTCTATCAGTAGCCCAAATTAAAACTAGTCCAATAAATAATAAGCCAATACCAGTTATCACTAGCAAATAATGAGCATCAAGACAACAGTAGCAAGCTGTAAAACGTCCAGTTCCATTATCAAAATTCAGTGTTGGTGGATTGTTTTGAGTTATTTTAATCCCTGTAGAAGATTTTCTTTCATATTCACTTACACGAATAGGTTGGTTGGCAATCACTGCTTCATTGTGATTTGTGCCGATTGATGTGGGGAACTCCTATAATTAAACAAAAGGGAAAGTACACATGTACCGCTTAGTATGTTTTGGATGAAGTCACGTTTCAAACAATCATAGGAATAAACTTGTCATAATTTTGAAAATGAATTAGTTCTGGTGACGAGTGAAAGTAGACCAGTTCCTTTGATGTGAAGACTTCAGAAATTAAAATTACGGTAGTTTAGATTATGCATTTTCACTAGTTTTGAAATTGCTGAATATATTCTTCATTAGTGTATTACGGAAGCAGCAGAAACATTTGGTTAGTTAGTGTTGAGAACAATGTAAACATAATCTGTTGCATTGTCTCAATGGGAACTTCAATATGTATGTAGTAAAACAAATATCGGGATCATTGAGTCTTACCAGAGTCATTTTTTTCAAATGTGTAACTTCACCCTAGTTCTGTATTCACTAGCATGACATTAACTGAAACTATGTGCTACTTATGTGACTATATTGATTTTAACAGCATGGATGCAGACCTATCAACTGACCACTTGAAAGAGTGTTATTGCGTTGGGGTCTCGATTGGGCCTAATCCTATCTGACCGTCTCATATCTAAACTCGAAAACAACCAACTTGTTTCAGTCAGCATTGAAGTGAGCTTATGCACAAGTTATGGGGTTGACACATTTGTCACATGTGAAGAGAATGTTGAATTGGTTGGCATCTTACTTCTTTTTTTTCAGTACATCCTATCGTTCCATAGGTTTCAGGTTAGAAAATGAAGTGGGTCTCTATCTCATTTCTGAATGTGCTTCTGACAAGGAAGAGTGATTGCTTCCAACGAAAGATCTGTAGTACTCAATCAATTTATGAAGAACTTGGATTCCTCAGAAAAATGTTCGTTGAAAATGGTTATGCAAGCCACTTGGTAAAGGAAAAAATGAAAGGAAGTCCGGACAAGGAATCTCGAAATTCCATTTCAAAGACATGTTTTAATGAATCTAGAATTTTGGAGTGACCAAACTTCTGATGTATATAAAAGTCTGCTGCCAACGACTATAAAAAGAACTTTCTACACGAGGGAGTCTTTTTAAAAGATAAGCTGCCTTGTCTGGTCTACTGGTTCATGCGGTCTTATAGAGTGTGATGCATAATTCGTAACGAGTGCTTGGTTTCAACTAAGATACGAGAATGTGTTCAAGTGTGGTTCTACAAAGCGGTAAGAAGTATTAATCTTCAAATGCATGTATTTTTATCAAGATTATTGTTTTCTATGTCCGATAGTTCTCATATAGTAACCATTTTTCCTCAAATATTATTTTATTACTAAAGTATATAAATTACTCCCAGTCCAACTAATAGTAATGTTAGGTATTTAAATAAACCACAAATACAAAGTTCACCCATGTTGTACTTATATTTCTTACTGAATACATTACTTATTACATTTATAAAAACAACATCTAAACAAAACTAAACTGAATTAATTCTACCAACATACATTAGAGATTGAATGATGATTTGATTCATGTAAATTTGATGAGCATGATGCAGGATGTAAGAATGGTGTAGATCCTATAGATAATTGTATATGTCTAGGTGATCTTATTTGAAGTTGAGGTTGATAATGATAATTCGAATTATAAGTACTATGTATTTGTTGTGTTTGTTGTGAATGATGATGCATAGAATGATCAAATGAATCAATCATTATTTGTGAAGTATCATTTAGATCATGAATTAAATGATTGGCATTAATTAATTTTATATCACCAAACCAAATATTATGCATAAATTCAAATGTTTGAAAACATCTAGACAATATAATAATGGCATCTAATAACAATAACAATAATCGAACTTGTGTCAATGTTAAAAAATAAGAATTTGAATCAATTGTTGAAGGATTTCCATTTCGTTTCGTAACAGTTGTTGCAAACCTTTTGAGAAAGGGAGAAATATGAAATTGGGGTAAAGTTATGAATTTATGAGAGCCAAACGTCTAAGGCAGTAAACATCATAATCACTTCGTTATATTTCAATTTTCAGTGATATCGAATGGGAATATTACAAAGAATCATTAAACAACATACAATAAGAACAATCGTAAAGATGAAAAGAAACATTCGTTTAGTTTATAAGTTCAGTATAGAGGCTGTGAAGATCAATACGTTTTTGGCTGAGATCACGAACCAATTGATGTTAGACCACCATTGAAAACCTGGAAGCACTGGAAGGCAATTTCGGCCCAGTGGGAATCCATGATCTCGCTCACGGGATTCGAACCCAGGGCCTTCAGTCTCATGTTTATATTGACAAAACGTATTCAAAAAGAGATGTTTCTAAGGAATAAGTTTATATTATCTAGGAGTACATTATTTTAAAGTCTAAAAAAAATACGATTCTGTTTCTTTTGCCCAGAAACGTATATTCAGTCATAAGATACAAAAATTATCAGTTATTATATTGAGGATACTTTTAGTCAGTAATAACCTGATTATAAATGAATGCCTTACACTCCAACTGCCACATATTTTATTAAACATACATTTTGCTATTCACTTTATGTGAACAGACTTATGCAAATTAAATTAATCACTCAAGCAGTTCGTTTACGTATAACTTCATAAAAGAGTATATGACATTGATTTTAGCTCTTTTTTGAAATAAATAATTGTATTATTTTGGTAAATATTGACGATGTAATAAAATTCTTTCCTTTCTCACCACTGGTCGAATATATTGGAACATTTGTGAGAATTAAATTCATTTTATATTGTTTGTTTGAAACTTCTCATTGATCTTTAGGACTATAATTGATTAGTCTCTTATTAACGCAAGTGCATTCTGTACTGATTGCCTCGATATTGCTTTAAGTCACAAGCATTATAAACATAGATGAATGTTGGCTAGAAGTGAAATTCAGGACACTCGTCAGCTCGTTAGCTGGATGTACCTGTATCACATAGTTGATGTTCACTCCAGGACTTAAAAACGATACCATTTGCTTCAAACACTACCACGTTATCCTTTTGGCAATTATGTCTTGATAAAATTGTTTTAATAAATACGACTCATTTTCATTGAAAGTTAGAGTTTCTTTATTTTAAAAATATAACATTGATAAGAGATAATAAGTGTTGGTTGAGAACAATTCTATAGACGGAGTCTATCACTATATATCAGTTTATAATGAATTTGTGTTCGTAATTTATGGAAACGTGTGAAAATTGATCACTGGAGAGTAATGCACGTTAAACTTGTTCAATAGACTTCACTGGTTACTAGGACGTAGAGAGACTAACAGTAGAAATTGCGAACTGTTTGATTCACATACATATTTCTATAAACATTGACATTTATGGTTCTTATTAGTTTAAACAAAGAAACAGTAGCTCGAATAATCTTAACTTTTCTAATCTATTTCGAATATTAAAATGTCATCAGGCTGTAAACATATTCATAACAAACGTACAAACATGGTTAAAATAATCGTTTTCACTGTAGTTTTGGCAATCTTCATCAAAGAAACTTAAAATGAGTGATACGATACTTGTTTTAAGTATTCGCGGTGGATTCCTGCAGTTGAAGCAAACAAATATGACGAATAATAATACTATAATACAATATCATTATTTGTACTCTAGCTGAAGTCATATTTTACACAGTACATATCATTGCTTGAATTCGACCTTTATTTCATCCTGGTTAGTGTACTTTTATATGTCTACAGTTTTTCTAGAATATTATTCAGTAGATGAACACTTGTAAAACTTGACGATCATATAGCCAGCGAATACATTTCTTTCGTCAAGCATGTCAATATTGCTGACTTGTCAAGGACTTTCACAGAATGTACCAAGTTTAAAGTCATGTATCCATAATCTCACACGCTAAAAGAAGTTACAAGTATAAGCATTGAAGTAACTAATATTTGGGTACGATGTCAAAAAAGGAACTTTTTATCAGTTGATAGAGATTTATTTGTAAAACGATTATTTTTAATTGTCTCACGATGAAGTTAATCTATGCCATTAGTGAGGAAACTGACAGGCTATAAAATTCTACCAAATTAAGAGAGTTCAACAGCCTATATAATATTCATTGTCTGTATCCAAATACTAAATACTTTGAGTTGCCCTGTAAACTATCCGTCAGTATAATACGTCTTGACATAAATAACCGGTTTTTTGTGGGGGGAGGGACTAAATATTGGAAGTAGGTGTTGATCAAACACATCTTCCATCAATACTAAAATCGATAAGTGATCGGATATGATTAAATTCTGTTTAAATAAAATTGATGGGTAGGCTTGTTTGATGAAATTAAATAACTGAATACTAAAAGAAACTAACATAAACTCTTCTTCGATCCATCAAAAACACTATTTTATATGAATTCACTTGGTGTTGCTTTATTTGTATCTTCCCATTGTTATTTAGGACTGCAATTGATCAGTCTCATGTTGGCATATGTGCATCCTGTGCGGATTGCCTCAATATTACCTTAAGTCACAAGCTTTTTAAGCAAAGATGGATAGTGGCTAGCAGTGGAATCCATGATGCACGTTCCGTCCTATTTGGGACTAATCAGCTAGATGTACTTGCTAGCCACTATTCATCTTTGCTTAAAAACTATTTTATATGGCCTTATATTTTTGACGAAATCTTTCATTCATACTGATAACACCCAACCTAATTCCTAATAACAATACTTATCTAAAACTTATCGAAATCTGGGGGAATTAAAGTGTTTAGTTAAAAGTATTCTATTCGAACTAACGATTAAGTTCACTGATTAACATAATCTAACATTATACATTGAATGAATTTAATTTTACTAAAAACAGGTTTACATTCAATATGCCCTTTTGAAGATATAAACTGAAAATGTCATTGATAAGCTAAATAAGTTTATTTTTACTTTACCGAATTATCTTTCTTTTCTTTTTTTGGTGTTATTCTTGTTACCACCCAATCATTTATTTGATTGTTAGATAATCTGAATATACTTCAGATTTGGGATAGACAAAGTTCTACATTACTTTATACTATTTATTAGGTTACATTTAATGCAGATATGCTTATTACTATGTATGAATATAAATAATTACTTACTTTCCTTTTAAAAACTAACTAAAATACAATTAATCTAACAAGTAGCCTAAATATCATATTTGTTTTAACCAAGTGAAGAAATATGGTGAGATGAAAAAGTAGCACTACGTGAGTTGTACCATGTGTGCTTGCGCGTGTGTGTGTGTGTGTGTAAGTTTGTCTATTCATCTTGTCATTAACTTCAACATAGTTTAATAAATATCTTATTATATATAATTACACACTTTATGGTAGATAAAAACATCTAAGGTATGTTATAGGGTTTTTAAGAAGTTATCGAATTTCTACACAATTTGCAAATACCTATATCTATACCTGAAACAAGTGCATTTTATTGGAGTGAAAATTGCACTTCATATGTGTATGCATATCTAAATACCTTTTTAACCAAAGTGCAGTAAATTCTCTCTTTCTCTCTTTCCTCAAATAACCTTTCTATATTCTATGTATAAAATAAGTTCATAAAGTCTATACTATGATTGCATATTTCACATTCATTTATTGTACAATATTTAATCTATAATTTTCAACTATATTTCACATATATATTCTAACACATTCATTGATAATAACATATATTAAGAATAATAATCATTCATTTTATACTGACATTATGATAACTGTAACAATTAGCTAGTTTTTCTATACACTTCTTATCTTTAGTAGCTATATCGAAGAATTTGAGGTAAAATTGAACATATAGTTGTACAAATACCTATTTCTGTGTGTATATGCCAAAGGAACTAACATTTATATCAGTATGATAATTAAATTAGGTTAATACAAATATCATAACCTTAAGTATTTTTTATGATTGAGTTGTATTTGGTCTAGTATAATCATTTAAGGATCATGATTAAAATGAAAGCTCAACTTTATTTCCGTAAACTTTAGTGGTAAGCTAAATCATACTAAACTTGTATTCATATATCAATGGTTATCTCTGAAACTGATATGTAATTTTATTTGAAATAGATTTTTCCCAAACCTTGAATTCATTTACAAACCAAGCCATTAGAATTTCATACTGAGTGATATTAGATTGTATAACAGTACAAGCTTTTTAATATTTCATTTGCATAAGTAAGTATTATGGCCTATGATAATGTGCTAGACGTGAACAATTTCGATTGATAAGCTGTAGCTAGATCTTATTTGATAAATTAACTAGTCTTTTTAAGAATAGCATAGTCATTTGAATAAGCTTAAACTTTTAACAATGAGATAAGAATACAGAAATTTGTAGCAATCAAACACTGAACAATATTTTGATATATTAATCAATCAACCAAAACTCAGTTGGTCATATTGCATTGTTATGTCCATTTTGCATACAATATTCTAGGATGTAAGATTATTCAACCGAAAAGGATTGGTGTATTTCATAAACATTGAAGTTAAAAACTCTTCAAAACGCTAGGGGTTTTTAGTTAGTGACCGTTAAGATTCAACAGTTTTGTGAAATTTGATATTAGCAAAAAAGTAATCTATGGTAACGTAGTCAAGGATATGGTGTATAAAATGTTAGTTATTGTCAAGTGTATATAACCAAAAAATGTTGATTATGACAATAATTACTGTTCATGATAGTTGTATTTGACTTACGGATAGAATTGTGCATTTAAATCAGTAAATGAGTCAACATTCAATTTTTCATCTAAATCCAACTGTCCACTTGGAATATGGTACCAATCTTCACTGGATAACATTTGTCGATGATCATGATACAATTTTGGCTTTCTTCGAAATTCATCATCTTTATTTAGAACTGATGATGAATAGGATGACGATAATGAACTTGGTTCTAATTTATAATAGAATTTGCTCGGCAAACCTGGAACTAGATTACGAAAACTGTTAAAAAAAAAGAGAGACAATATATGTAAAATAATAGCAATCCATGTTTTATCTGAGTAGTTATTAAACACTTGGGACATAAAAATGCATCGCTAATACATTCAAGTTTGATATAACCATCCAATCCAGTTAGTCATTTTCATATTGAGGCATTTTATAACTAGGCATTATTTAGTAATGTAAATTGTGATTTTTAAAGTGAATTGGATAATCTATAGCATTCATGAAGTATATATGCAACAATCTATATCTGAAAGAATACAGTGGATTCTAAAGAACATTATATTGTTTAAATATATCTTCTCTAGTCTCAGCTATTTGATATTCCTTAACTTTTACCTCAGAGAGAGTACACTTCAACGCAAAATGTACATAGTTTTTCTAATTTCTTTATTATTACAAACTTTGTAAGATTTTGTTTAGAAAAATTATGTAAATTATGTTTAGAATACCATCACTGTATCAGACAAAATATGATCCGAGTACCAGATCACTTTAGCAGTCGTTCGTGAAGTAGAACAGTTACATAGTTTTAACTTCATTTTTTTATCACAAACTACAAGTATTCTTCAACTTGAATTCTAGATTAATATGGACCTGCTGCCTGGTGAGCAACTAAACCCGGGACCTACAGCCCTAGTTGCAAACACATAACCATAAAATATAATCCATTGCCCCATGTTTCAAGCTCCGTGATGTAAAGCAATGGTCATTCAGTATCATTTAACTGAATTAAAAAGATTTCCACTAAACTATAAAATTTCAGGTCTTTTTAGTTTTCCATTGTGTGAAATTAAATGTTGCTAAAATGTTTTATTCACAAGATAAACAAAAAAGATCAAACTATTCATTGCAAGATGATACATTTGGTAATTACAACTCAACAACTTTTTTTATTAAGTAACTAAATTTATAGAAACATTTTGATGAAATATTAACTAATGGGATAATTTATTGATCAAGTTGTAGTGTCGGTTACTATGTCAAGCCCATATAACTTATTCTAGGATCTAGACAGTCCAACTTATCTTTTCTTTTTGAGTCACCTTTTCACCTTGTCACATAATCGCTTATCAACCTTGACCATTTTTAATGAGCGTATGTGTGTACACTTCTTATCCTACTCATCACATGTTTGTAGCTTATTTTTGTGTGACTATAACTATTGATTACCGCTTGATTAAGTGGGGTTGGCTCACACATCTTCTCCAGCGTGCATCATTTCACTTCACTCTCTTCTCTTCGCTTTGTCCCTCTGATTACCTGCCCAAATCAATGAATGTACAAAATATATGCATTCGAAAATCCATTCTCGTATTTGACTTATTAAATTCCATGATACACTAAAGCGGATTAAGTCGATAAATTTATACGAGGATAGACAATGTGTATATTTCAATAACGTTCATACAATCCAATTGTAATCAGATCGTGGGCCACTAAAAAGCCATCACTAAGTCAATATTACATAATAGTTAATTTAGATACCAACATTAATTCTATTTTTATTTACTTTTGTAAAGATATTCATCAAAGAACTTTCTGTTTTCTTTGCATTTATTTAAGAAAATAGACAATCGAGTGATCAGTCTCTAAAATTTTCAGTCTGTTTCATTCATAAACATTAATGAATCAATTGAAGTATTTCAAAGAAAAAAAAACTGTGAGGCATTTAATAGGAAAACAGAAATTATACCTCAATCTATATTCTTTATTTTACTCAAAAGTAAGACACTAATCTTCATCATCATAACAGAATAAACAGGATAGACAGATTGACAGATAAATGTATAGACATGTAGGTAGTTTGATTAATAGATATGTAGACAGTCATAATAAAGAAATATATCAGTTGAACGTAATTGAATGCATAATGAATTAGGAATATGGAATAGAGGGAATAATATGTAAATGAAAGAAATCATAGTCAGACAGTTAGCTATCATTTATTTCATATCAGAAGGAGTTTCTTTATGGATATGATAGTAATTTTAATATTTGAGATCATGAGTCAATTGAAGCTAGACCACTATGGAAAACCTAGAAGCAACGGACGACCGTTTTGTCCTATTATGGGACTCCTCAGCAGTGCCTATCCACTAACTCGACTCACGAGATTCGAACCCAGGACATATCAGTCTCACGCTCGAGCGCTTAACATCTAGACCATTAAAAAAGCCGGCATTCAACAGTGTTAATGTCTAATTTCAATTAATCCACGAAATTGAGCGACACATCCACCAGTGCCATCAGTGAGTTATTATCTCACAACAGACCTGGTTGAATTCCACTGGTCACTGCTTCGTACTAGAACTCATTTGTTTTATTCGTTTGATACGAGCTAAAATTAGAAGTAGTGACGAAGTTTTATTAACTTTCTAATTTACTTTAAGGCCTTTAGTTTTGTATGATTCAGTAATTTTCAGTTTTTGACCCCGATTATCCATTATATTTTATATTTCTGGTGTTAAGTAAACCAGTTGAATTACCATTCTTATTTTAAATGTTTCTTCCTTTTCAGTTGGTAACGACTTCTCTTACAATGTACAGAAATGATACTTGAAAACTTGGACAGATACACATATACGTTTGTTTTTTACTCATTCCAGATTCTTTTTTTAGACATTTATTTTTGTTGCTTAAAAATATTATAGAGAAAAGCTGTAAACAGTGTCATTTTGGGATAAAACTGGCCAGGAATGAATATTTACAACCTTAACAGGGCTCGAACTCAAAACCCTATGAACCTCCAGGGAGTGCCAAACATTTAGGCCACTGACTTGGTACTATTTGGTTGATATTTTTAATTTCAGTCATTTTGTTATAGAACTCACAAAGACAGAAATCTCCGAGACTCCTTTATAATAACAACAAATTAGCACGCTCTTTCGCTTATGTGATGCTGAAGGTAGAAAGTCGACAATTTAGCGAGTCAAAATCATTCATAAAAGACAGTTTCGACAGATCTTTGATTTTGATTCATTATAATCCAAAAGCTGTTTAAAAGAACATCTCTGACATTCATATCTAGAATATCTCTATGATTATGCAGTAAAGTGATGTTGTCACAGTGTGATGCAATAATGATAATCACTTTAAACCAATGTAGTTTAATGTATTCATGCGCATATTATTTCAATATTGATTCAAGACAATGAATAACATACTAAACTGTTGTATGTACACCTATTTAATTTGTTTATTCACCAGATATATCAATAATAACCATTAACAAATCTATAACTTTTCAGTGATCGCACCGATCTAGATAATTTTGAGATAATAGTCAAGTCTAGTTAACTAGAAGATGAGTTTCAATAGTTTTCTGAAATATATAATCCGAGAAAATTTTCTTTAATCTAAGGTTCAGTGTTTGCTTGAATGAATGAAATAAAACTATTCAATTTTTTTCATAAAAGAGCTCACTCTGAACTTTATGACTATTTTTCATCAGCTTATTATTAAGGAGACCTAATTATTGATTTCTTTTATTCCTGATTATGGAAGTATCCACTATACAACTGCTTGTAATACACCCCCATATTTGTATTTACATATATACAGATATATCTATACATTTAGTACAACGGAAATAAAAAGACCTTAGTAAAAGTTAGTAGAACAAAGGAGATTATTTTATTGACCTTGTTAGAAAGAAACACCTTTTTTTTATAACAAAAATACTTGATAAATTTAATCATAGACTGATCTATATTTTGTAAAATGATCATAGTATTTTATTAATTAATTTGTTGTAATACAAGTATATAGGTCATTAACGATAATCCTATAGATGAAAGCAAAGATCGAGGCGCACAAATATCAGCTAGTTGACAATGTTAACCTATTTACCAATTTAATCTCCTCAACTCAGAAATTCGAAGGCGTAAAAATCTTATCGATTATATTGGTAATATTATTGCATTTTGTAATGTTTAAGATAATTAATGATTAAGAGACTAAAGTGATTGTTAACCTCTATTGGATATCTCTCTACTGAAATGCAAAGAGATTAAATACAACAAGACGGATTTGCCAATAGTCAATAAAAAATCAGTAAATGTCAATTTCAACTTCGGAGTTGAGGAAAGCACAAGCACAATCAGTAGGATGTTTAGCGAAGTATTAACCAGAACCTTCCAGCAGCCGAACAAGTGATTCTGTTTAAAACAATGTGTTCAGTAACTCGATAAAAAGTCGACAAGTATTTCATTCATGTACCGTCAACTGTACATTCAACTTTCACAGCAGCTACGTTTGCCTAAAAGAAAAGTGGGCATATTTGAGATTTTTCGGACATGTTCCAAAAAGCCTTCAATTAGAACAGAGAACTACTTTAAACAGAGCAATTACCAAACATCTCTTGGATACAGGACATCACATCGACACCTCCAAATCTTACAAGGTGATTAATTAATAGCCAATCCCCAGTTTTCTGAAGTTTACTGAAGACACTATTATCGGACGTCAGAGACTTGATTGATGTGTTCAGAAGGACGTGTAAATGGTATAATTAACTTGTTGTTTTCATACTTTATAAACACAGTGTGTAAATTTACATAATACATTACCTGAGCCTTCGTTCATTTTAATACCAGTGTTGTAGAGTGTTCCTTTACATAATATTTATATTTACATCCTTGCTATGCTATAATGATATGTGGTTACATGAACTTCCAACGAACTCAATAGATTATCTCAAAAATAGTCTGAATTTGCCAACTCTGCTCGGACCACTAATCGCTGAGACCACAGTCTGATGTCAAATTTTGATTTGATCTCCTCTAGATTTCTTTCAACTTATTTTCCATCGGTAAACACGTCTGTTTAGATAAGAGGATGAATTAGCTAGCAAAAACATAACGATGTTATTTCAAATGGCTTACCTATTCCAAATTCTTGTACCAGCCAAACGAGCATGTGCAGGTTGTGGAACACCAATAAAATTTGCTAGCATTAAAGATTGTGTTTCTCTGGCACCATTTAAAGCGGTTAAATCGTTTGACGATTGGTTTTCATCTTCCGAGTAAAAATCACTTGATACTAAACCAAAATACGTTCGATCCATGAATGATATACGCCTCTCTTGTAACCATGATGTATTTAATGCCCTATATGCTGGTGCAAGCCATGGATTTGTAAGAAGATTAGCTAAAAGTTGATCATATGGTGCCCAGTAGTCAATAACTTTCGTATCCAGATCATCTCTTGTCTATACAAAAAGTTGAGTAAAGAACATTTCATTTGAACAATTAGGAAATCGGATATTCGATAGGCTATTTTAAACAAATAAAGTTCTACTTAGAATCTTGTATATTTTATGGTTAATGATCAGGTAGCAGCAGGATTTACAATTGTAAACTGAATACAACATATGTTTTGTATTAGTCAGTTCAATGACTTAACAAACGTATAAATAATTCTGTATATCTGTAAATATGAAATCTTACCGAGTATTAGATAAAAGTATACACAAACAGATAAGTCTTTTTGGATGATGAAACGAATCACTTGGTGTTATGTACATTACATACAAATTATTTCAATAATTTAAAGCTCAATAAACAACCTAGTTTATTTCAAGTTCTAGATTTATTTCTGAGTACCAAGAATTAGAAGTAGATGTGCCATGATTCGAACTCATAACTATTGAGATGAAAACTATTTGTTCAGGTAACTGGTTGTTTTAAAATACCACATGTTATGTGGTTTTAACAGTGATTGATGATTGTTGAATTAATCGCTTTTATATTTGATCAGATAGTTACAGGACTGACAAATTACAGAAAGGATTGATCAACTTAGATGACATGTAGGGAATGTCTTGATACGTGTATGTTGATTGTCATAACTGTAATTTACTTCAACAGATATAAGCGGTTTGATATGTACAACTGGGTAGACTAAACTATATTTATTAACAGTGACGAAAACCCTAAGATAATTAAATTTTGATGATCTTTCGCTCATGATTTCATGTAAATCTGTCACAAACTATTAAGAATTTTTATGATACATAAGATAGGTGAACATTTGTGAATGTGAACTCTCCTAGTGAATCTATTCAATACGTTAATTAAGTATGGTTGGTTTGGTTTAATTTCATTAAAAAATGAATCCTTAAGAAACGTTTATTACCTTGGTTTTCTCTGAAAGTGTTTTTTTGTCTCTTAGTTTATAGTGGTTTTATTTTTTACCTTCAGCTTAATTAACAATCCTGTAGTATGATAAACCATTTTTATTAGTATAGAGAATGAATAATGAATTCGTTTTGATAAGAATCTTACGGAATTCTCTTAAATGAATGTTTGTTCAAGAAATTGTTTCATCAAGCGTCCAATGTGTTTTACTGATTCCAAGCACCTCAAGGTTGTATCTTTTTATTTCTGCAGCAATTTAGATAACTCTCCCGGTCTTCTACATTTTAAGAACATTCCATGTACCTAAATTAATGGTTGCTCTGGTTTTCAGAAGGGGCATCGTCCTCGTGACTTCCGAAGGAACTCGGCTTTCACCATGACGTGTTATAACTTTTCTAAATGAATATCTAACTCTCAGGGCAGAGTTTAAATAGTCTGGATTATTTCTCCTGGTTGAAGATTTTTAGCGAGTTAGTTTTCTAGGTGATGAGGTCGCCAACACCATGCCCAACCCTCCACATTTATCCGGGCCTAGTTTCACTAAGCACATTTTAGTAAATTAGTCGTTAGGTTGTTAGTCATCATATGGGAAAAAATACCAAAAAATATAGATTACCATCCTTAAGATGATATTATTTTGTATTTTGAAACCTTAGATCTTTTGGCCAACTGTCACTGGTAACTTTGAAGTACAGTGAATATTTATACACAAAATTTAAAGTAGCCACTTCATCTTTTTATCGTTAAAAATAGATACTTTATACAAGTGTACAACTGTTAAAAATCAAATGACAGTTCAACAATTCTTTCAATATATCTATACACCTTCGTTTATTTACCTTTCTTAGATAATCATCAACTGTATCTAAATAAGGTAACCAACTGGTACGTTCCAAATGATTCCATGTTTCTTGTTCTATAGTAGGTATTTGAATATTTACACCATTCGATGTCCATTGGAGTGTAGATTTATTATTACTATTAATATTGTACATTTCATGTTCAATTTGACTGATAGAATCTTCATATGAAATTTTGTTGTCGGAATGATAATTCATTGAATTTTCGTTTATATCATTATGATTAAAAACGTCATTGTTGGTACTTGTTTGGCTAAACCAGCTGATTAGTTTCTTACCAATATACATCATATATCTAGACAAATGCTTACTATGATCTTCATAATGTTTACCACAGTCTGAGATTTGGCTTGTCCCTTTTTGAGTCTAAAAAATTATTGGAAGTGAAGAATAAAATAATGATATTAATAATAATAATAATAATATGGCATGACCTACAATAGAACAAATCAAGTTTGGGAGACAAATCTCAAGTGTAATCTTGAGTATTAAAAATTTAGAAACTCGAAACACTAATATCAAATTTTGACGAAGATGAATCCCAAATGGTTTTTTTTATCAAAGATTGACATCAATTGGAAAACTACTGGAAACTAGTGAGAACTGGATGATTGTTCCATTTATGTCAAAATTTATTTGTTGTTCAGATGTACCATGCCTTCAGATTTAATAGTAATCAAATGAGTTACTTTTCGTCTCAACATTCTAATGGTGTAATTAAGGAGGCATTTGGTAGAAAACCGTCTAATACTCAAAATCATGCAATACACTATTTGCCAATCTTCCTTGAATTGCTTCTTACAAACTTATCTTTCTTCCATTCCTGTTCTTATTTTGACTGCTTTCTATTTTTCTTTCTCTTTTTACCATATTCCTCTCCTGTCCGTTAGAATCCTACATTCAATTCTTGACATATACTATTTTTATCTGGTCGTACGAGTAGTACATACGAGAATAGTACTGTTGTGGTGTGTGATACTTATATTGATATAAGTAGTATATGATGTTAGTCGTGAACAGAAGGTCTGGCAGCAGAAAGACAAGAAGATCAAACAGTAAAGAATGTAGACAGAATGCAATTTGTATGAAAATGCAAGAACAATGAAGTCTGAGTCATTTTGAGACAATTGATGGACATTTTGCAAATTAAGCATTTACTTTATGATTGTTAGATTTTATTAACAAGTCTTGTAATTATGTGTTAAATACATTCGATTGTTCCTCACTGGTGTTCTTGTCCACTAAACTGTTTTTTCTAATTGACAGTTTGTTGATTATGATATTTCAGATGATAAATTTGGATTTCTGTACTAAAATTCACATTATTAAGGATACATTAAATAAATATAACCATAATTCTGAGACAATTTAAAAATGAGTTTATGCAGTTTGTAAATTTATAGATCATAACCTGATCGAAAAATATTGATACTTTTCACCGATTAAAATTATCATAACTATCTATGGTAATGAGACAGTTTTATTGTCGTTGACGTTCGATAGTGATAGAAACCGCTTTAATCAACACACATTATATCTAGTTTTAATTATATGAATAATGTTTTGAAAGTGAAGTGAACTAACTTTTTATTACAATCTTTAGACAGAAAGGTTAGATCCCCAGAACTCACTTGGGAAAAAACTTTACTTTTTAATTTTATTTAGAAAATTTGAATTTTTCGTTTTCACGTCAAAAGCGCTCATTTCACCTTCATGTCGTATTTCCCACTTGGGAGAATCTTAAATGCTATCGGTCCGTTGTATCTTTTAGTATGCTATTTTTTATTTCTCCCCAAGGACGGTTTTGTGCTGTATATATACGTTTTGATTTGTGTCCGTTGTTATCGCTTGTTTTCTGGCGTTTTGCGGAATATAATTCCCCGTTCGGACTTCGACTTCTCTCTCTGGTTAGCGGGGATGGGACTCAATAGATTAGCTAATTTATTGGTCTTTGGTCACAAGTTTTTGTTCCGTTCGCAGTTTAAGTGAACTCGTAACCGCTTCAAACCTAACATTTATTCAATATTATATTTTTGGTACAATATAGAATTCTCAGCACAAAATATTTTAACAAATTTCCGTTTCTTAATGCTTGGTCAATCCTGACGACAAATACTGAGTGGTCGCCAGCTAGAAGTAAGCTATCCAGGAATCGATATTTAAATAATGTACATTCTTTTCACTGTATATTGCCAGCAACCATAATGTCTTTGATTGGACATTTTTATGCAACTTGTACAGCAAAAAGCAGTAAACATTGTTCATAAACGTATCTTAATCGGTTGTGCAATTAATAAACATAATGATATATTAAAACAAGCAAAAATCAACTAATTTATTAAAATATCTACAGATAGCGCAGATATTCAAATAGGCCTCTAATTTATGATTAAAGAGTAATGAATTCTTTATTCTCATGACATTTTCATTAAACTTTTCGTATTTAAAAAAAACATGATAAGAATGTATTGTTTTTAATGAAATTTTATTCTTTAAGCTGAATGATTTAGTTGTGGAGATTTCATCATTCTTCTGAATGAAATCATCAGTATAAACTCCATCAACATCATCCAGCTGAGCTATAAATCTTCTCCATCATCTCAGAATATATTATATTTCTCAATTTAAAATTATTCTCTTCTCATATATATATGTATATATTGTGGTGCATCGTTCCTCCAAACAAGGAACAACCAAGAAGTCACCTTTCTTGATCATCAATAGCTGAAAGTCACGACTACCAATGCATAATAAGGCCTGGCCACGACAACAGGAGTGGACGACAACAAGGTTAAGAAAAGAGAGGAGGGAGGCAGTAAGGAACTTGGAAAAGAAACAAGTATCAGATATAAAGAGGGCACAACAACAAAAGAGAACGTGGAAACCTTTTGCAGTGGGGGACCTAATAAAGTGTAGAGAACGGAAAAGTAACACAGAACGGGGATTAGGGTGGGAAAGCTGATCCCAAAGTGGGAAGGACCGTACATTATCACGGAGAGACGTGGCTCGGTTTACACGATCCGGAGAGAAGACAAGCAGAAGAGAGAAAATGCCAGTCAACTGCAGAGATAGTTTCAAAATCATTATGAATGTAACTCACGAACAGCACCAAAGAAGACAGCTGTACAGCGATCAGAAAGACTACGAAGACACCTTACTAAAAGGGGGACGAGTGTGGTGCATGCTACTTATATTAACATAAGTAGTATGTAACGCGAGTCAGGAATGTAATGTCTGGCAGCAGAAGATTGGGGAGATCAAGAAAGGAAGAACGTGAATAGAAAGCAATTAGTATAGAAATGTAAGAACAATGAAGTCCGAGATAGTTATTGAACATTTTGACAATTAGGTATTATATTATAGTTGTTCTTTTTTACCGAGTAACTCTGTAATGTTGTGCTAAATATAATTCGGTTGTCCTCATCTGTGTTCTCCTTCACTACAATATATATATATATATATATATATATATATATATATATATTAGAACTAATAGGGGTTTATTTTACCAGTTAAATTATTTCATCAACAAATAAGAGATGATTCAATTAAGTTTTTCAACGAAATAATAAACAGTTTTCTTCTATGACTATTTTACTTCGTTAAAAAAATAGAAAAAAAATTATTGATGAAAGATTTTATTCAAGGTTTTTTCCCCTTTTCTAGCACATTCGTTCTTTTTTTTTCTTCCAAAAACAAAAAACATTGAAGTTTTACGAGTGTAATTATAATTTTTCAGGTCAATTTTTTTTAAAAAAAAAGAAAAAAAGAAAAAAAAGAGAAACTGGAGTTCATTTTAAATAGAGAAACTTTTTGCAAGAATGATATAAGTTTATATTTATAAGAGTATCCTAATGTATGTTGTTAAATGACCTTAGAAATGAATTAAATTGTTTGTTATTTTTCTACTTTATATTTAAATGATAGAAAAATAGAGTGAATAAGTTGGTCTTCCATTTAAATCGTTAGTTAGTTAGTTAATGCTTAATATGAATGAAAGATTTAAAGAATGATCATTTGACTGTAAGTTTTTTGAATAGATTTTCATTGTTTGTTTCTGGTTCATTTCTAGATTATCCGAAGTTACTTTATAAATTAGTGTAAATGTTAAATGGATATAACTGGTAGGTTTTACAAAGCTAAATTTTTTTAACAGATAAGCATCATATATAGGATAATTACTTACTTATCTACTCCTGTTACTCCTTGTTGAGGAGCATAGACTGACCACTAGTATTCTTCATCCAACTCTGTCCTAGACAGTCCTTTCCAGGTTTTTTCCGTTGCTATTCATTCTTTTCATGTCGCCTTCCAAATCCTGATAAAGTGTGTTCTTTGGCCTACCTGTTCTCCGTTTCCCTTCAGGATTACAAGTTAGAGCTTGAATCGTGATGCTATTCGGTGATTTCCTCAATGTGTAGCCTATCCACTTCCAACGTCTTTTCCTAATTTCCTCTTCAGATGGAAGTTGGTTTATTGCTGATGATATCCGGTCACTGAACATTGAGTGACTTGTATAAACAACTGTTTATAAATATTTATAAGTTTTGATGATGGTTGTAGTAGTTCTCCAAGTTTCAGTTTCGTACAGTACAACTACTATGACGTTCGTATTGAGGATTCTCACTTTAGAATTGGTTGACAGTTGTTTTGAGTTCCGTATGTTCTTCAACCGTAAGAATGCTGTCCTTACTTTGCCAATCCTCGCCTTTACGTTTGTATAGGATCCTGCTTACTCATTGGTGATGCTGCCCAGATACACAAAACTACCACTTCGTTCACTGCTTCTCCATCAAAAGTGATTTAGTTAGTTCTGTCCGTGTTGCTTGGTTTTGTGTGTATGTTGAAGCCTATTGTTGCAGAGGCTACTGCTGCACTAGTTGTCTTCAGCTGTATTTGTTAGTGTGTATGGGATAGAAGAGCTAGGAAATCTGCGAGGTCCAACTCGTCTAGTTATATCCAAGCTATTCATTTTATTTCGTGCTTCCAGTCAGATGTCGAGGTCTTCATAATCCAGTCAACCAGCATAAAAAAAGACAAAAAGTGGGAGTTAGCAGCCTTGTATGGCATAGGTCATCACTTGGAATGCATCTATCAATTTTCGTCCATGCACGACTTTACACTGTAGTCCGTCGTGTGAATTCTGCATGATGTTTAAGATCTTCTCAGTTACACCATAGCGTTGAAGAAGAGTTCATAATGTTCTCCTCTTCACACTATCACATGCTTTCCCATAGTCAAGGAAGTTGATGTATAGTGACGAGTTCCATTCGATTAATTGTTCAACGATAATCCATAGTGTTGCGATTTGTTCTGCGCAAGACCAGTCTTCACGCAATCCAACCTGTTGACCTCAAAACCAAGTG